TCCCTGGTAAGTGTTACTTACCACAGAGCATGGTCATACAGTCTACAATGGAATGGATCCACGCTGTTTGTGCATAATCCTGAGTGAAGTATGTCTGGAACTCCACAAAAAAAACTGAAATACATCTGAAAAATACAGTGCAAGCATGTTATACAAAAAAAAAGAAAAGAATGAACATGCATTTGAATCAGAGCTTAAAGTTTTATTTCCATCAACTGTTCCATGGGTTTAAATTGGTTTTCAGTGGTACTCTGCTGGACCATAATAATTGGGAAATCAGAAGCTGACCATTGAGCAATTCTAAAGGATAAGAACAAGTGTTCATTCACTGGAGGGGCTGCTGAAGCCAAGTAGATATGAAGATCACTGCTGTAGGGAAGACCTTATGAAAAAGATGGCAGGTCGCCGAAACCGGTTTGGCTCAGTGGATAGAGCGTCAGCCTGCGGACTGAAGGGTCCCAGGTTCGATTCCGGTTGGGGGCATGTACCTGGGTTGCGGGCACATCCCCAGTGGGAGATGTGCAGGAGGCGGCTGATCGATGTTTCTCTCCCATCGATGTTTCTAACTCTCTATCTCTCTCCCTTCCTCTCTGTAAAAAATCAATAAAATATATTTTAAAAAAAGAAAAAAAAAAAAAGAAAAAGATGGCAGGTCAAAAACATGTACTTTTATTCATCTTAACATTTAACTTATATCTGTAACATGTAAGAGGTTGTTATATAAGTTAAAATCTATAATAATAAAAGTGTAATATGCTAATTATACAGGACAAAGCTGTGGCAGGCGGGGGCTGAGGCAAAGGTGGCCGCTGCAGCAGCAAGGGCCAAAGCCCTTGCACGAATTTTGTGCATCAGGCCTCTAGTTTAACAATAAAGAGTTATACATCACCATGCAATTTCATGTCTAGGTTTACGGGGGTTTTCTATCCTCACTCATAAATATGTTTTTATTGATTTTAGAGGGAGAGAGAGAAACATCAATTGGTTGCTCTCCATACTGGGGATCAAACTCACAATCTAGGTATATGCCCTGATTAGGAATCAAAACTGGTAACCTTTCTGTGTAAAGGACAATGCTCCAGCCAACTGAACCACTCAGCCAGGGCTCATGTCTAGATTTTAACCAAAGGTAATAAACAGATGATGAAGAAGATGAAATTAGATACACATAAAAAATATTCTGGAGAACTCTTCATAATAGTCAAATATTATAACCAACCTCTTTGTCCATCAATAAAGGACTGGTTAAATAAATTTTGGAATACCAAAAAATGAAATATTGCCCTAGCCGGTTGTCTCAATGGTTAGAGTGTCAGCTGCAGACTGAAGGGTTTCCGGTTCAATTCCAATCAAAGGCATGTACCTCAGTTGTAGGCTGGTCAGGGGTACGTGCAGGAAGCAACCAATCTAAGTGTCTCTCTTACATCAATGTTTCTCCCTCTCTTGTTCTTGCCCTCCCTTTCTCTCTCTCTAATAATAACAATAATAATAATAATAATAATAAAATATTATTAAGGATTAAAAATGATGCTTTGATCTGTTTTGATTTAGAAATAAATTCACAATATAATGTTAAATTAAAAAGCAATTTACAAAATAGTTTGTATAGTAAGAGCTTATTTTTATAAATACATATTTATGTAAATTAAAAAAAACACCTGAAAACATATAAACTAAAAACTACCTTGTCATTATATGTGAATTGTGAGATAATAAATTATTTCATTTTTAATTTTATTCTGCATTTTGAATTATTTTACAACGAACATGCTTTCTTATATAATCAGAAACATATGGATATACACACACAGAGGTGGGGGAGACATACAGAGACAGAGATTGAGATGAAGACAAAGAGACAAAGAAATTTTTATTTTGAAAAATGGTTAATTACAAGAACTCCGAATAGCAAAGAATCTTGAGAAAGAAAAACAAACAGAACGTATCACACTTCCTGATTTCAAGCTATACTATAAAGCTGTAATCATCAAAACAGTATGGTGCTGGCATAAAAATGGACAAATAGATCAATAGAATAGAATTGAGAGCCCAGAAATAAACCTAAGCATATATGGTCAACTAATAATTGACAAGGGAGCCAAGAATACTCAATGGAGAAAAGACAGTCTCTTCAATGGTGCTGGGATAATTGGATATTCACATGTATAAGAATGAAAAAAAGAGAAGAAAAGAAAATGAACCCATATCACTCACAAAAAATTTAACCTGAAATGGATTAGAACAGCCATGGGCAAACTACGACCCGCGGGCCAGATCCGGCCCGTATGAAATGAATAAAACTATTGGAAAAAAAAGACCGTACCCTTTTATGTAATGATGTTTACTTTTAATTTATATTAGTTCACACAAACACTCCATCCATGCTTTTGTTCCGGCCCTCCGGTCCAGTTTAAGAACCCATTGTGGCCCACGAGTCAAAAAGTTTGCCCACCCCTGGATTAGAGACTTAAATGTAAGACCTGAAATCATGAAATTCCTAGCAGAAAACATAAGGATAAAGCTCCTTGACATGAGTGTTGGTAATGATTCTTTTTTTATATGGCACCTAAAGCACAAACAACAAAATAAAAATCAAACAAGAGGGACTATATCAAACTAAAAAGCTCTGCACAGCAAAAGAAGCCATCAGCAAAGTGAAAAGACAACTCATGGAATGGGGAAAAATATTTGCAAATCATATATCTGATAAAGGATTAGCATCTAAAACATAAATAATTCATTCAACTCAATAGTAAAAAAACAAATAACCCAATTTAAAAATGGGCAAAGGACCTAAGTAGACATTTCACCAAAGAAGATATGCAAAAGGTGAACAGGTACATGAAAACATGCTCAACATCACTAGTCATTAGGGAAATGCAAATTAAAACCACAATGAGATATCACTCACACAGTTAAAATGGCCACATACAAGTGATAAAAAAATGCTGGAGAAAAGAAAACCCTTGTGCACTGTTGGTGGAATTATAAACTGATACAGCCACTATGGAAAACAGTATGGAGGATCCTCACAATATTAAAGACAGAACTACCATGTGATCCAGCTATTCCACTGCTGGGAATATATCCTAAGGAAATAAAAACACTAGCTTGAAGAGTTATCAGCAACCCCATATTCATAGCAGCATTATTTACAACAGCTAAGACATGCATATGCAACCAATCTGTGTCCATCAACAGATGAATGGATAAAGAAGTATATATACATACATATATATATAATGGAATTTTATTCAGCCATAACAAAATTAAGAAATCCTATCATTTGTGACATGAATGGACCTTAAAGGCATATGCTAGGTGAAACAAGTCAGAAAGGGAAAGACAAATACTGTATGATCTCACTTATATGTGGAATCTTAAAAACAAACAAACAAAAACCAAACTAATGGAAAAAGGGATTAGCCTTGTAGTTACCAGAGGTGGAAAGTGGGGGAAGGGGTAGGTGGAGGATGGTGGTTAAAAGATACAACTTCCAGTTATACAATAACCAGGTACTAGGGATGTAATGTACAACATGATGACTATAGCTAACACTGCTGTATGATATAGGGAAGTTGTTTAAAAAGTAAATCCTAAAGAATTCTCATCACAAGGAGAAAAATCTGATTTTCCTATTTTTCCTTTTTTTAATTGTATCTCTATGAGAAGTGGGTGCTAGCTGAAAGTGTTGTCATCATTTCACAATATATGGAAATAAAACCATCATGCTGTATGCCTTAAACTTATACAGTGATGTACGTCAATTATTTCTCAGTAAAACTGGGGGGAAAAGAAAAATTTAATTGCCCAGGCACTGTCGCAAAATTTAATTGCGACAGGCACTGGTTCTCTGAACTAACAAATCACCCTGCAGGCTACTTTCCTTATCCATCTCCAGTTCTCTTGGCTGCTTCCTGGTTCATGACATTTAGATTCTGATCTGGCTGAGTCTTCACACTTTTCTTCCTCTGAGCTTATTCTGCTCAGGTATCCTCCCCTCCGCCTCTCCCAGGAACCTCGGATAGCAGGCCTTTGCTGCCAGCCACAATCCTCTCTCCTGGCTTCCAGCAGTCCTTCTTATGAAGCACTGAGCTCACTTCCAGAACTTTCTCATCATAGGATGGTGGGAGCTTCCACACGTAAGAACCAAGATGCAATAGATTCCTTTTAATTCTATGACCTCCTCACACCCCAAACACAATATCCATAATACAGTGGAAGCAATATCAAACTCAACCCCAATTGTATAATCTTAAGCAAATCTACAGTGTATTAATCAGCCTTTATTGTGGCAAAAACAAACATCCTCCTTCTTTCCTGCATTATGTGTTTGTTATGAAGGTAACATCAATGCTTTTATTAATGACTAGAGGCCCAGTGCACAAGATTTGTGAACTGGTTGGGGCAGGGGGTCCCTCAGCCCGGCCTGTACCCTCTCACAGTCTGAGACCCCTTGGGGGATGTCCGCCTGCCGGCTTAGACATCCCTCTTGCAGTCAGACATCCCTCTCACAGTCTGAGGCTCTCACAGTCTGTGACCTGTTGCTCCTTACCGCCCTCCTGCAGCAGAGGCTGGAGAGGCTCCTGCCACCACTGCTGAGCTTGCCAGCCGTGAGTCCAGCTTCTGGCTGAGTGGCACTCCCCCTGTGGGAGCATACTGACTATCAGGATGCAGCTCCTGCGTTGAGCATCTGCCCCCTGGTGGTCAGTGCACGTCATAGTGTCTGGTCGTTCTGCCATTCGGTCGATTTGCATATTATGCTTTTATTATATAGGATGCCATCAAATAAAGTTATTAGTGCAAACTGCTTTCTTTTGCTGCCATGGGTGAGCTGCCAGAGGAGAACAGAGTACAATTTGAATGGGAGCACCTATAGAGGAAAGAGCTGGCACCTGCAGATTTCAAGTATGTATTTGTTCTAATGAGTCTCAGTGTGTACACGTTTAACTTAAGCATTTTCAACACTATGTCCTGGGATAAAAGAAAAAGAGAGAGAGGTGCTCACTTCAGCAGCACAAATACTAAGATTGGAACAATACAGAGAAGATTAGCATGGCCCCTGTGCAAGGATGCCATGTAAATTCGTGAAGCATCCCATATTTTTTATGCTGTGCACCTCAAACTAATACAACAATATTGAATGTAAACTATAATTAAAAATAAAATTTAAAAACCAAAAAAGAAACTTTCTCAGAATATAAACATGTGAAAAATAAAAAGAGAGAGAAGGAGATGTGAGTAAATAAGGAGAGAATTCATGTATTTATGCTGCTGCTCTCATCTTCAACCTAGACCTAAGCCTCCACCACCAAACACACAGCCAAATGCAATATGAAGAAAAAGAACTTAAATGAAGGTTTTAAGCTTCTAAGGGCTCAGTACCTAGTAAGTCAAGAGGTTTTCAAGGACTATTTTAGCCTTATATGTTTTTCCTTTCTGGGATGAGCTGTGTATGAAGACAGGTGGCTGGAATAGCCACAATATTTGGTCTAAACATGTCCTAACACTTCAGGTTTATGTGTCAGATATTATCAAAGAGACCACAATGCAGAACTTTTTTAAGTGTCAGAAAATCACATTCCTCACAAAGAAAAAGATGTCTGAGCAAAGAAAATACACACACACACACACACACACACACATTTTCACAATGGCAGGTTCAGAAATAGAACGAAGCAGACTTAGAACAACAACAACAAAAATAACCAGATCATCTTAATAAATCAAGAAGAAAATGCCACTAACCTGGTTACTGCCCGGGTACAGATGGTGACGAGGAAGCAGCCAGCCACAATCATCCAGCCCCAGCCTCCATCTGGAGGGGAGGTGGACCGGGCTCTATTTACTTTTGTCATGGTTTTCTTTTTTCTTCTTTTCCAAGTTACTCCAACAGCCCAGTTATGATCCTGGAAGAGTTTACTGTCCCGTGACTTCCTGTTGGCATTCAAGATTGGCATAGAATGCTACCTGGCACATGGGTCACTGTGGGCCATCTAAAACCAAAATCAGGACATATTTATCATTTATTGACATCTCCAACGGTTGATTTTTCAGTGGGCAGAGATGATTAATACTTTCCTGTTACATATGATTATTTGTAACTAAGAATATTGGACTGGGGCAAAGAGCCTTAGTGTCCTTGGAGCTCCTCCGCCTTCTTTTTCATAGTAGATCCTCTCGAATTTTTGCCAACCCACATGCACCCAGTTTGATGCCATTTTCCCTAGCCTTTCCTGGAGGTAGGGATAACAATGTTGTTTTAGTCTTGATGAAAGGGATGCAAGAAAAAGTAATAGGTGCCACTTCTGGTTCATCAGATCAAAGACAAGGGCGCTTTCCCAGGACGTCCACAACCCCCTTTCCCACAGACCGGAACATGATGTGGAGACAAGAATTTCAACCACACAGACCAGGACATCGCCCTGGGGCTGGCAGAGACACAGGACAGAAGGAGCCTGGGTCCCCAGAAGACTCTTTGGAGAAGGCTGCCTCTCTAGCTCTGGGTTTCACATACCTCTCACTGTCAGAAGAAAGATAAAATAAGCATCAGTTATATTTGAGCCTCTGTATTTCTTATCTCTTTTTTTAATTAAATATGTTTTTATTTATATTTTTGGAAAGAGAGGAAGGGAGGGGGAGAGACAGATACATCAATGAGAAAGAAACCTTGACTGGCTGTCTCCTGCATGCCCTCTGCCGGGGATCAAGCCCACAACACAGGTATGTGCTCTAATTGGGAATGGAGTCAGTGATCTCTTGGTACATGGGACAACACTCAATCCACTGAACCACAATGGCTGGGCTGTTTCCTATCTCTTTGTGTTTATGGTATGTTTTAGATCTAGCACTCTCTCTCATAATTCAACAGGAATATCATTCAAGCTTCTACTTACACCTGCACACAAAAGAATAACTCACCAATTAGACACAATTAGGTGTCAAGTGTCATGAAATGACAGAATCAATTATACAAGTTAAAAAGCCAAAGCTGCCCTAGCTGGTTTGGCTCAGTTGATAGAGTGTCAGCCTGCAGACTGAAGGGTCCCGGGTTTGATTCCGGTCAAGGGCACATGCCCAAGTTGTGGGTTCGATCCCTAGTAGGGGGCGTGCAGGAGGCAGCCGATCAATGATTCTCTCTCATCATTGATGTTTCCATCTTTCTCTCCCTCTCCCTTCCTCTCTGAAATCAATAAAAATATATATATTTTTTAAAAAAGCCGAAGCTTAGAAACTTCTGTCCTAATCTCTTCATGGGTTTTTCCATTAAAATAACCCCCAAGGTTAAACTATTTTCCAACTAATAAAGACCATTATAAACTTTTGAACAAAAATAGATACAGAGGCAGAGCTGCCTCAAACAGACTGTCAAACTGCAGCAAGAAGGCCAGGGAGGGTAGGGGGGCAGAAGGAGGGGGGGTAAGAGATCAACTGAAGGACTTATATGCATGCATATAAGCATAACCAATGGTCATAAGACACTGGGAGCAGGGGAGGCCAGAGGATTGTCAAAGGTGGGGGAAAAAAGGAGACATATGTAATACCCTTTGTAATACTTTAAGCAATAAAACTAAAAAAAAAAAAAAGTTTAGGAGAGCAATAAATAATGAAAGAAACTAATTAAAAAGATATAAAAATGAATGAAAAAACAAATTCTGAAGATATAAAAAATTAAGAGAAAACTATCCTCAGAATATGGTTAAATAGCAAAAAATAAAGTAAAATTGGAGAATAGTTGAGCTGCCCTTAGAGAAAAATGAAAAGTTTATCTTCTGGAAACATTTAACCAAAAAGAGATCTGAATTCTGGAAACTTGAATTTCAAAGTAAGATGCCCAAAAGAAAGGTTCTACAGATAATAGCTTTTATGAAGGAGGATAATGAAATCAATCACCCATTCTATTACATGGTCCAACAGTCAAAATATCCTCATCATGAATGCAGAGCTTCCAATAACCTCTGAGGATTTAGTTTTTATCTTAAACTTAATGAAAATAACTTCTTTCGTATAGAAGTATCTGGTACAGTATCTTCGTGCCTGCATAAACAACCATAACACTACAGAAACTATATGTAACAGAGCAGAACTGTGATGCCTGAGGGAAGAGAATCAAACAAGATCAGCCTTATGATTACCTCAACTTTCTATTTGGAAGCAATTTCCAGACTAGAGCATAGGTAGGGAAAATCAAGTAAAACTATCTTACTCAAATGAAAAGAACATAGATAAAAAGTTGGGGAGGCCCAAGGACCTGAAATTTGCAGGACAGCATACCAGGGAACCATCCAGAAAAAAAAAAGTTCTAGAAATCTGCATAAAGATCCCTTCAAGTCTTTGAATTTAATTCTGGTCATGTGTTAAGTAGAATTCTAGAAAACTAGCCAAAATGTAGTATCTAAAAAACTAGAAGCTAAACAATGCCCAGAGTTCACACAGGGTTGGGAGATAGTGGAATTCCTATCAGTCAAAGAGGAGAGAACTTTTTAAATGCTCAAGACATTCACTAGAGACCCCAGAAGAGTCATGCCTTACTTATTACCAGTTAATAAGTAATAAGTTAATAAGTTATTTAGTACCAGGACTAAATAGAATTAGAGCAGAAGCCACTGTGAAAAGTGCTAACAAAGCCTGAAGGCAAACCTCAAAAAAGATAAAGCAGATCCTCGAGGAACTTCATTGTCTGACAAAACTTACGGATATTTAAAGGAAGAAAACAAAATGCAAACGTTCAACCACGAAAAGTCATAATGTCCAGCATCCAAACAAAAATTGCCAGACATGCTACGAGGCACAATTCTTTGACACCAGAAAAAAAAAGGGAGGTGGGGCAATAAAGAGATTCCAAAATGACAGGGATTATGGGATTAGCAGATAAGGACTATAAAACACCTATTATAATTATACTCAAGGATTTAAAGGAAACTGGAAGATATTTCTTTTAAATGATAAAATGGGACTTCTAACATTGATATATACAAGTACCTGGAGTAAAAAATTCAGTGTTATCAGCATCATGGTGGAATAAGATGTCCCTCATACTTGTTCCCCTCCCGCAACAACAAAATTTTGGCATCTACACATAGACAAAAGTGTATTTGAGGGAGCTGAGGGACCCTGGAGGAGTCTTACCCACCCATGCATTGGGTAATAGGCAGAGATAACTCAGTCCTGCCTGTGGATCTGCAGTGGTTCATGAACCAGCTCTAGCCCATCTTGGCTGTAATCTGGGATCTCCTGGAAAACACCGTCTTAGACAATCACCCACAAATGAGAGAGCCAGAAGTACAGGTTTTCAGAGGTAAAGTTCCAGCACACCAAGGAAGAAAAATAAAATAGTTTGGAGAAATTCAAGTGGGTAATAGGAACAGCTTGCCTTTACTCCATCATTCCTTCCCCAAGCAGAATGGCTGAGGGCCCTCATAAAACCAAACATAGTACAAGAAAGGAACACCATTAACTGATATTGCCTAATAGGCATAGAAGCAAAATCTTTAACAAAATATGAGTTAATCAAACCTAGTAACATATAAAATAGATAATACATCATGACCTAGTGATGTTTTCTTCCAGGATTTAAGATTCATTTAACATTTGAAAATCAATCAATTAAGTAGGAAAATTATATAATCTTAATAGGTTAAAAAAAAAGACATTTCACAAAATTAACACTCATTTACAGTGAGCATTTCAGAAAACTAAGAAGTAGAGGGGAAATTCCTCAACCTGATAAAGAACATTTATTAAAAACTTGCACCTAACCTCAAAATTAATGGTAAAATTAATAAATGCTCTATGCCTAAAAAAAAAATTAAAAATAAAAATAAATAAATAAACTATTTTCCAACTCAAAACTCTAAATCTACCTACCCGCCAAAACCGGTTTGGCTCAGTGGATAGAGCGTCGGCCTGCGGACTGAAAGGTCCCAGGTTCGATTCCGGTCAAGGGCATGTACCTGGGTTGCGGGCAATCCCCAGTAGGAGATGTGCAGGAGGCAGCTGATCGATGTTTCTCTCTCATCGATGTTTCTAACTCTCTATCTCTCTCCCTTCCTCTCTGTAAAAAATCAATAAAGTATATTTAAAAAAAAAAAATCTACCTACCCATAA